ACAGACTCTAACATGGACTAACTAGTCAATAAAATGATAATGTAAAGAATTGGCCCTACAGGTGAGAGTCTTCAGCACAAGCAACAAAGGCTCCAGCTTACTTTAGTCTATTACTTATACATAAGTGGATTCAGTCAATGCCAGGTGATTTAGGAGCTGAATCTCTGAAAGTTTAACAAGAGGCAGTAAACATAGATCACCAACCCAAAATGGATTCATGCTTCACTGAAGATCCATCTGTGGCCAGCTGGATTCATAATGTCACAGCTGTCTCTCTCAGCTATGTTTGGGCAACATAAACAAGATTGGGGGCTTCACAAACAAGTAAATCATGGATAAGGAGTTGACTTAACATGAGTACAGACCTGTATTAAACACAATGAACCTCAATCAAAACCTCTAAGTGTTCTTAAGGCTTAAGGTAAAAATCTGTCCACATAAAATGCCAGAAATTAAACGTATTATGATATTAGCCTTTCTTAGATTTTTTGTTTGTAATGAAATGATTAAAAGTTTTTAATCCAGCCACTTGTTCAACTATTATCCAAATAACCACATTTTAGTATTTCTTCTCAAAATTTCTACTTCTTGACTATTGAAAAACTTAGAAGGAGATCAATATATGTGTATGAACTTTCCAGGAAAGACCTAGGGTGTGAAGCTACGGAGCAAAATTCACTGGAAGGCAACAACCATTGCAGACAATTGTTAGAAGGAGACTGAGTTCTGTGCTTAGTCACTCAGCCATGTGTCCGACTCTTTGTGACCTCATGGACTGCAGCCCACCAGGATCCTCTTTCCATGGGGTTCTCCAGGCAAGAATACTGGAGTGGGTTGCCATGCCCTCCTCCAGGGGATCTTCCCAACCCAGGGATCGATGGATCGAACCCAGGTCTCCTGCACTGCAGGCAGATTCTTTACCAACTGAGCCACCAGGAAGAGTCTAGAGTGACTAAAACTGCATCTGGACCTAAAAATGTTTACAAGTAAAGTTCCAACTCAAATTCCCCAACTTTAGCTATTCATCATCTCTAATTTCTACACAGAAGACATATAAGACTGAAGATGGCATATCATTGGACAAACCCACCCTGATTGCTAATACACGCACATTACATCAACTCTTCCTTTCATTCCTTGTCTTGCTTAAGCCTACTCAGTGAAATTCATTTGTAGTAGATACAGAAACGTTAGTATAACATCAATTCCTCCCTCTCTTTTACCCTCAACATTTGGTTAATCAAATGTAACCTTTCATAAGGTTACTTCTAATAGGTCCTCAAACTATGTTGTTTTTCTGTCATCACTGCTACCAATATCTTAACTCTGTTCATAACCATCTCTAATCTGAATTACACAATAGCCTCCTGTTTCCCTGTGATCATCCTCACCTTATTATAGATTCTTCACTGCCACTATGGTAAATTCTGGGGAATTAAAATGGTGTACTAGAAGAGCAGGAGTCCTAGAACCAGAAAGTGTTGGTTTGGCAAACCACTTTCCCACTCTGTGACCTGGGATAAATGATTAGCTTCATAATAATCCATTCCTTTATCTGTAGAATGAGAATAAGTATATCTTTCCCTCACAAGGATTTCTTGAGGATTACATGAAATAAGGAATATAAAGCTTCCCCCTAGGGCACAGGCCCCACTCTGATGCCTTCTTTTTCTTTTGTCCTACCCAGTTATGTGAGGATTTTCTTATCTTCTTGCGCATCTGATGTCTTCCGTTGGTGCTTAGTAGCTGTTCTGTGTGATTCATTCCACTTGTAGATATATTTTCATCGTTTTCTGTGAACAGAGGCAAATTCTACTTCCTACTTCTCTGCCATCTTGTCTGACCTCCCCATTTTTTTTTCTTTTCTGGACCATTATATTATTTTGGAAAAGGGATCTAGTAGGTCAGAGATCTATCCTTTATTTGCATATCTATTATGAAACAGTTATGATGCACTGTATGTGCACTTAGTCATTCAGTCATATCCAACTCTTTGTGACCCCATGGTCTATAGCCCGCCTGGTTTCTCAGTCCATGGAATTCTCTAGGCAAGAATACTGGAATGGGTAGCCATTCCCTTCTCAGGGGATCTTCCTGACCCAGGGATTGAACCTAGATCTCCTACACTGCAGTCAGATTCTTTGACATCTGAGACACCAGAGAAGCCCTTCTTGTAGCACACGAATTTATATTACATAAGCATAGCTCATGAAGTGAAGTGAAGTGAAGTCGCTCAGTCGTGTCCGACTCTTTGTGACCCCATGGACTGTAGCATCCTCAGTCCATGGGATTTTCCAGGCAAGAATACTGGAGTGGGTTGCCATTTCCTTCTCCAAAGCATAGCTCATATTCACTAAGTAAATTGACATAGTTCATTACTCACTAAGTAAATCCCTATAGTCTCCCTATTTGCTGGATCATGGACCCAATATTTGTAAACTCTAAAGTTTCCAAGAGGAAACAAATAGCATCCCAAAGTTAGGTATCACTTCCTGGATTATCATCCAGCACCTCTTGTCTAATAATTTCTTCAACCCATTATCCCATTTCCGCAGTCCACAGAGTCACAGGGGCAGGCTTTGAACATAGATACACTGCAATAAGAGTAAACCATGGCAATTCACTCCAGTATCCTTGCCTGGCGAATCCCGTGGAAGAGAAGCCTGGCAGACGGCAGTGCATTGGGTCACACAGAGTCAGACATGACTGAAGTGACCTAGCAGGCACCCAAGTACTGTCATAACCAAATTTGCTGATATCCTATTTTTCCCTTTCCTGGTAATTTAGAATCAAGACTCAAAGAGAGAAAGAGGAAATCTCTTTCCAGGAGGCTGAATGAAGAAAAACCCAGTAGTTACTGGTGATGAAATTCTATCCTCTGAGAGTTGTTCTTGTTCAGTTGCTCCTTGTGACTCCATGGACTGCGCATGTCAGGCTCCTCTGTCCTCCCAGAGTTTGCTCAAATTCAAGTCGATTAAGTTGGCGATGCTATCAAATCAATTCATCCTCCGCTGGTCCCTTCTACTTTTGCCTTCAATCTTTCCCAGCATCAGGGGCTCTTCCAGTGAGTCAACCCTTTGTATCAGGTGGCCAAAGTATTAGAGTTTCACCTTTAGCATCAGTCCTGCCAATGAATATTCAGGATTGATTTTCTTTAGGATTGACTGATTTGATCTCCTTGAAGTCTAAGAGACTCTCAAGAGTCTTCTCTGGCACTACAGTTCAAAAGCATCAGTTCTTTGACACCTAGTCTCCAACTCTCATAGCCATATATGACTATTAGAAAAACCATAGCTTTGACTGTTTTCTCTATTTCTTTGCATTGTTCATTTAAGAAGGTCATGTTATCTCTCTCTGCTATTCTATGGAACTCTGCATTGAGTTAGGATATGTTTCTTTTTCTCCCTTACCTTTTGATTCTCTTCTTTCCTCAGCTATTTGTAAAGCCTCCTCAGGCAACTACTTTGCCTTCTTGGATTTCTTATTCTTGGGAATGGTTTTGGTCACTGCCTCCTGTACAATGTTATGACCCTTCGATCATAGTTCTTTAGGAATTCTGTCTGTAAGATCTAATCACTTGAATCTATTAATCACCTCCACTGTATAATCTGCCTGCAACGCAGGAGACCCAGGCTCAATCTCTGAGTTGGGAGGATCCCCTGGAGAAGGAAATGGGAACCCACTCCAGTATTCTTCCTTGGAGAATTCCACAGACAGAGGAGCCTGGTGGGCTATAGTTCATGGGGTCCTCAACTGTATAATCATAAGGGACTTGATTTAGGTCATACCTGAATGGCCTAGTGGTTTTCCCTACTTTCAACGGAAACCTGAGTTTTGCAGTAAGGAGCTCATGATACGAGCCACAGCTTCCAGTCTTGTTTTTGCTGACTATATAGAGCTTCTCCATTTTCAGCTGCAAAGAATATAATCAATCTGATTTTGGTATTGACTATCTGGTAATGTCCATGTGTAGAGTCATCTCTTGTGTTGTTGGGAGAGGATGTTTTCTATGACTAGCCTAGTCTCTTAACAAAACTCTGTTAGCCTTTACTCTGCTTCATGTTGTAATCCAAGGCCAAACTTCAATCTATTCGTCACCTCCGTTGTTATTCTGCATATCTTGATTTCCCACGTTTGCATCCCAATCCACTATGATGAAAGTGACATCCTTTTTTTTTCTGGTGTTAGTTCTAGAAGGTCTTGTAGGTCTTCATAGAACCAGTCAACTTCAGATTCTTTGGCTTCAATGGTTGGGGCATAGACTTGTATTGCTAGGATGTTGAATGGTTTGCCTTGGAAATGAACCAAGATCATTCTGTTGTTTTTGAAAGTGTACCCAAATACTGCATTTTAGACTCTTCTGTTGCCTATGAGGGCTCAGTTCAGTTCAGTTACTCAGTCGTGTCTGACTCTTTGCAACCCCATGGGCTGCAGTCCATCAGGCTTCCCTGTCTATCACCAACTCCTGGAGCTTGCTCAAACTCATGTCCATTAAGTCGGTGATGCCATCCAAACATCTCATTCTCTGTCATTTTATTCTCTTCTCTTCCTGCCTTCAATCTTCCCAGCATCAGGGTCTTTTCCAATGAGTCAGTTCTTTGCATCAGGTGGCCAAAGTATTGAAGTTTCAGCTTCAGCATCAGTCCTTCTAATGAATATTCAGGACTGATTTCCTTTATGATTGACTCCTTGCAGTTTGATCTCCTTGCAGTCCAAGTGACTCTTAAGAGTCTTCTCCAACTCCACAGTTCAAAAGCATTAATTCTTCAGCACCCAGTTTTCTACTTTTTCTAGAGTAGCTTTGTAGAAGAGGGCTACTCCACCTCTTTTAAGGGATTCTTGTCCACAGTAGTAGATATAATGGTCATCTGAATTAAATTCACCCATCCCTATCCATTTTATTTCACTGATTCCTAAAATGCTGATGTTCAGTCTTGCCATCTCCTGCTTAACCATGTTCAACTACCTTGATTCATGTACCTAACACTCCAGGCTCCTACGCAATATTGTTCTTTATATCATCAGACTTTACTTTTACCACCAGATACTTGTACACCATTTCTGCTTGACCCAGCAGCTTCATTCTTTCTGGAACTGTTAGTAACTGCCCTCCACTATTCCCCAGTAGCATATTAGATACCTTCTGACCTGGTCAGCTCATATACTGCTGTCATATTTTTTGCCTTTCCATACTGTTCATGGGGTTCCCCAAGCTAGAATACTGAAGTGGGTTGCCATTTCCTACTCCAGGGGATCTTCTTGATCCAGGGATCAAACTTACGATTCCTGCATCTCCTGCACTGGCAGACAAATTTTTCACCATTGCTCCACCTGGAAGCCCTTAACTATTCTCCAAGTAAAAAATTTAGAGCTTAAAAATGCAGTTTTGAATATTTTGTTCAGTTTTAACAATACTTTTTTTTTTCTTTTAGAAAGGAATGCCACTAAATGTGCTGCAGGCAAAGGATCATCAGTTTGGCTGATAGACTTAGGTTAGTTTTCAGACTCCTCCTAAAAAGAACAAGGACAAATGTATTGTGCCCACTCTTTATGATGCTATTCCAGACAATGAAGAGAGCTTTGTTTAAATGTCAATGTACTATTTACATATACACATTTTCTAAATGTGCTAAAGTTTAAAATAAGATTCCTCTCCCCAGTTAAAAATAATGTATATACATATTTTAGTTAAAACCAGTATGTTGAATGTGTCTCATTGAGATGCAGGACACACAATGAGAGGATGTCGACTGAGTGACAGAGAAATATCTGTGCATTTAACAGATAAAAAGTAGATAAGAGGTTACATCTCTTAGACTGCTAATGTAAAGGGAGCTTGATTTTTAAATAAAACATGTTGACAAAAGACTAAACAAAGACAGAGAGTGTAGCTTAGAGCAGAGGCTGCATCTCTGACAGATCAAAGATTTTCACAAGTCTCCTACAAAGTGTCAGGAGAAGGTAACAAAAAGATAGGCTTAAGTAGACATCATAGTAAAGAATACAGAGCTGAGAAAGTTTCACAGAAGCTTGTGAGAGGAGTCTAGATTTGAGTTTGCCAACAGTATGGGTGATTGAGGGTAGCACATACAGGACTCTTAAATATTCTCCAGATGTTAAACCCTACTGATGTGTCAACTAGCACACACTTTTGCCCTCAAACATCTCTGAGCCTGGACCCTCAGTATAAGAGTCAGGCTCACTCATGGGGCCTAATTATGGATGCCCAATTATTATCAAATGTGCTTCAAATTAGAAGTGAGATCAATCTTATGGCTCTACAAATTTGCTCTGCAATTTCACTAATTATATAACTTCTTTTGATTAAACAATAAAGAATTTCATTTTCTGATTTTTACAATGTTTGCTTCACAGGCTATACCACCCTAGCCTACGGTAAAAAGAAAAGGAAATAAGGCCACACTTTCACCCACTTGTGAACATTTCAAGTCCAACCAATTTTCTCCCAAATAATTCAGAGTTTTCATAGAGTTTCATTTGTGTTTTTAGAACTAGTACCCTTAGCAACTTTTTCCCAGGGGATACAGATATCAAAGATGGTACCAAAGGTATCCTCTCTTTTACTGCTGTCCACTAAAGCTGTTATCACAACTATTTATGTTGTTAGTGTATGTGTAAAGACCCAAAGGTACACTGTAATTCTGTCATTGTGCCCTTTGCTACCTTCCCCAATTCTGAGATCAGTCATCAATGTACTCACATTATACCTTACTTCTATCCCAACACGTCCTAATATCAACAGTGCTGCTGATACCCTAAAGCTTCAAACACCCACAGAGAATATGGAAAAATGCTCAGTATTTATTATTTTAATTAACGTTGGCTTATAACATTATATAAGTTTCATGAGTACAACATTTCAATTTCTGTATACACTGCAGCATGCTCACCACCAAAATTCTAGTTTCTAGAGAATTCTGCTAAACATATAAAGAGCTAGTACCAATTCTTCCCAAACTATTCCCCAAAATAGAAAAGCATGGAATGTTCCCAAATTCATTCTAGGAGGCCTAACACCAAAATCAGACAGAGGCACTACCAAGAAATAAAAAATAAAGAAAGATAAGAAAATTACCAGCCAATAACTCTGATGAGTATAGATAAAAATCCTTAACAAAATATTGGCAATCAAATTAACTAATATGTAAGAAGGTTCATACACCATGATCAAGTGTAGCTTATTTTAGAGATGTGGGAGTGGTCCAATAAACATAAATCAAATACTGTGATATACCACAGTAACAGGACTTCTTCCCTGGTGGCTTGGTGGTAAAGAATCCACCTGCAATGCAGGAGACGCAGGAGACACAGGTTCAATCTCTGGGTTGGGAACATCTCCTGGAGGAGGGCATGGCAACCCACACCAGTATTCTTGCCTGAAGAGTCCCATGGACAAAGGAGCCTAGTGCACTACAGTCCATGGGGTCGCAAAGAGTCAGACATGACTGAAGCAACTGAGCATGCGTGCATCACATTAACAAAAGGAAGGATAAAAATTAAATGATCATATACCTAGACATAGAAAAACCATTTGGCAAAATCCAACATTCATTAGTGATAAAAATCCTCATCAAAGTTTAGGTAGAGGGAACATATCTCAACATAACAAAATCCATTTAAGACAAATCCACAGTTAACATCATACTCAGTGGTGAAAACCTGAAAACCTACCCTCTAGAATCAGGAAAAAGACAAAGATGTCTACTCTCACCACTTCTATTTAACACAGTATTGAGTTTTTTGGCCACACCAATAAGACAAGAAAAAGAAATAAAAGGTATCTAAATTGGAAGGGAAGAAGTAAAACCGTCACTATTTGAAGATGACATGATGCTATACATATAGAAGACCTGAAAGTGAAAAGTGAAAGTGAAGTCACTCAGTCATGTCCGACTCTTTGTGACCCCATGGACCCCAGGCTCCTCCGTCCATGGGATTTTCCAGTAAGAATACTGGAGTGGGTTGCTATTTCCTTATCCAAGAAGACCTGAAAAACTCCACTAAAAAGACTATTAGATCTAATAAAGGAATTCAGAAAAGTTGTGGATACAAGATTAGTATACAGAAATCTGTTGCTTTTCTATACACTAATAAGGAACTATCAGAAATAGAAAGCAAGAAAACAATCTCATTTAATATCACATCAAAGTGAATAATATACCCAGGAATAAACGAGGTGAAAGACCTATACTCTGAAAATTATAAAAGTTTTGATGAAGGGAATAAAAAAATGATAAAAAGAAACAGAAAGCTATCTCATGCTCTTGGGTTGGAAGAATTAATATTATTAAAATGCCCATACTATCCAGAGCAATCTACAGATTTAATGCAATCCCTATAAAAATACCCATGACATTTTTCACAAAACAAAAACAAGTGATCCTAAAATTTATGTGGAACCACAAAAGACCCCAAATTGCCAAAACTATATTGAGAAAGAAAGAACAAATGTGGAGATATCATGTTCCCTAACTTCAGACAACACTTCAAAGCTAACCCTGGTGGCTCAGTGCTAAAGAATCCTCCTATCAATATAGGAGACACAGGTTCTATCCCTGGGTCAGGAAGATCCCTGGAAAGGGAAATGGCAGCCCACTCCAGTATACTTGCCTGGGAAATCCCCTTGCCAGAGAAGCCTGGTGGGCTACAGGCCAGGGAATCATAAAAGAGTTGGACACAACTTAGTGACTAAACAACAACAAGAATGACAGTAATCAAAACAACAGAGTACTGGCACAAAAGCTGACACAGATTGACAGACCAACAGCAACATAAAAGGAGCCTAAAAATAAACCCAACATGATTAATGGGCTTCCTAAGTGACACCAGTGGTAAAGAACCTGCCTGCCAGTGCAGGAGATACAGAGATGCTGGTTTGATCCCTGGGTCAGGAAGATTCCCCTGGAGAAAGAAATGGCAACCCACTCCAGTATTCATGCCTGGAGAATCCCACAGACAGAGGAGCCTGGCAGGCTACAGTCCACGGTGTTGCAAAGAGTCAGACACAACTGAGAAACTTAGCACTCATAATATCCATGCATGCTTATGATTAGTTAATCTATGACAAAGGAAGCGGGAATATACAATGAAGAAAAGCCAGTCTGTTTAATAAGTAGAATAATGAAATTAGAAGATTTTTCTCACACCATAAACAAAAGTGGACTCAAAATGGATTAAAGACCTAAATATCAGAGCAGAAGCCATTAAATTCCTAGTAGAGAATGCAGGTAGCACACTTTTTGACATAATATTGCAGCAATATTTTTTTAAGTTCATTTCCTAAAGCAAAAGAAAGAAAAGCATAATAAACAAATTAAACCTAATTAAACTTAAATTTTTGCATAGCAAAGCAAACCACTGATAAAGCAAAAAGATAACCTATTAAATGGGATAAAATATTTGCAAATGATACATCTAATAAGAGGCTAATATCCAAAATACATAAATAGCTCATCCAACTCCATATCCACTGATAAAGTGAAAAGATAACCTATTAAATGGGATAAAATATTTGCAAATGATACATCTAATAAGAGGTTAATATCCAAAATACATAAATAGCTCATCCAACTCCATATCAAAAATGCAAACAACCAATTAAAAATAGGCAGAAGACTAAAATAGACATTTTTCCAAACAAGACATACAAATGCCTAATAGGTACATGAAAAAATGCTAACCATCACTAATCATCAGAGAAATTATTGTATCGATGGTTTGCAATTATCTTCTCTCACCTTAGGGTTCACATGTAAATCCATGGGGACAGGAATAAAATATGCTATGATTTATACACATAATTCCTTCCACTTCAACACTTGCCCATTGTCCTTAAGCAAGATATCCTTGTTTTCACTGTTTATTCAGTGTTATTTTCCAGGAGGCTCTTTGGTGCTGTACATAACAGTACTTCAGAGGCAGGATTGCATGTGAACTTGGTGGAGTGAGAAGATGTGCTTCTCCTCACCAAACTCAAATGATATGACAGCATAGGAAGAGAAGAATAAACTTGCAAAGTGGGAGAAGAGATAACAGAAAATGAGAAATATTAATAAAGTTTTTATAAAGCAGATTGAGATATGATGATGGTTTCAACTTGCCCTGTAGTAT